TGTGGCAGTGGGAGCCACTCCCCACCCTCCCCACATCCCTTGGACAAGCCACTGCTTCATCCCGCGCCCGCCCGCTCTGGCTGGGCAGCCCCATGCCTTCCTACCCAAGGGCCCTTGACCCATGCCACGCCCCTCCTCTTCCCCCTCCTGCCACACCAGACTTACCAGCTGGAGGCAGCTCTCCACACTGCTGGGCTAGTATCGGAAATTGGATCGGTATTGGCCGACATGCCTCCTTACAAATTGGCTATTGGTATCGGCTGCAAAAATCTCTATCAGCACACCCCTAGTTAGAAGCAATATCTGCAAGGATACACACAGATACTTAAACACATACCAAAGCCTCACTCTCAGGGAATTAAGAATGCTGTACTGGTGCTGATGCATGTCAGGTTGGGTTCACCTACTACCATAACCTACAGTAGATGGTACTACCTGCGACTGTTAATGCCGAGTGCTGGTTAAATAACCTGGCAACCTCTAGGGTGTCAATGGCCTTTGCAGAAGACCACCTTAGGGGGATATTAGTCTTACTCCTGGTGGAGGAAAATGCCACCAAAACATTGTGGCACCAAAGTCCACTCCATGGTAGGGTAGACTGGGCTCTTTAACCCAGGTCAAGGTGGTCATAGCTTTGATGAAAAACACAGGTGTGGGTAAAAGCAAAAGATTCCAGACAGGAGTCACTCCCTGGATGTTTTCAATGAACTCTTTAGAATAAAAGTGCTTCTGAATACAGTGCTCTGTAGTGGGTCTACATGATACTGTACTATTGTACTAGAGTGAAAACAGCTGGAAAAAATCCCAGAGCCTACAACCAATACAGGGCAGAATCTAAAAGGTTCCATGGCAACCCGAAGAGAATGAGCAGAAGCCCCTGGCAGGATAGAGGAGTGATGGATACCCACAGTGGTGTGGTGGAGTGACAGAGACCCCCCATGGAGCAACAGGGTGGTGTGGAAGGGCAGCAGAGACCACCGCCAGCGGAACAACCAGCAGAGTGGCAGCTGCCCCCCAGTGATGTGGAGCAGCAGAGACCCCCTGGCACTATGGAGGAGAGGTGGAGACCCCCCCAGTGGCATGGAGGAGTGGCAGAGACCCCCAGAAGCATGGAGTGATGGACACTCCCAGCAGAGCTACAGAGACCCCCAGTGAAGCAACAGAGATTCCCCCCGGCACCATGGAGGAGTAGAGGAGACCCCTCCCCCCCTCCAGTGGCATGGATGAGTGGTGTAGACCCCCCAGCAGCATGGAAGAGTGGTGGAGACCCCTAGCAGAGTAACGGAGACCCCCTGGCCCCATGGAAGAGCAATGGAGACCCCACAGTGGTCTAGAGGAATGGCAGAGACCCCCATCAGAGCAACATGGAACCCCTCCCCTCCCCCCGGCACCATGGAGTAGTGATAGAGACCCCCCAGCAGCAAGGAAGGGTGACAGAGACCCCCAGCAGAGCAACAGAGGCCCCTGGAGGTGGCATCCACAGCAGCACTTCCTGGCATCAAACTCTAGCAACACTCTCCAGAATCAAGTCATAGTAACTTCTGTGCGGCCCTCACTAGCCAGCTCTTGCTACTTTGGCTGTCATAGGTGGTAGAAGCCCAGGAGAAGAGCAGCAACCCTTGCAGAGAGGGGGACATGGACAAATGACATGACCAATGGACCAATGCAGCATGGATCAATGAACCAATGGAATAACCAAAGGCCCAATGGCATGACCAATGGGCTAATGCAGCAATAGTTAGATGGGAAGGTTTGGAAAGGGGTGATCCTGCCTCAGGCAGAGGGGTGGACTAGGTAACCTCCATCGGTCCCTTTCCGCCTCACTTCTCTATGATTCAATACGTCTATGAGCCCCTGGCAGCAGGGAGTAACAGAGCCTCTGGGGTGGTCCTTCCTACCCAGAGCGTACTACTAAACTGGTGCAGGTGGTAAGAGTCCCTGGGTG